GTCAAAGCCAAGTTCACAGGAACCTTCCCAAAAGTTTGCTTCCAGCATCACAAAAGGCCAAGAAAAGGCTTCATTAAAGAAATAACTAATATAAAGACTGTAAATCAAAGTCTCAAGATTTCTAGCTTAGGTTCTTACCAAAGAAACTGTATAATGCTGCAAGATATATGAATTCACCTCAAATGGTGATACCATTGACTGAGACAGAAATCCAAACAAAGATATTTTCAGATTGAGACTCCAGATCATAAATGTTCATTTGAAATCTAGAAGAGCAAGCAATATAGTTGTTGGTACAGGTGTGTGATGATGTATGTCATACTCTAAATATATCTGAAAGGTGTGTGCCAAAGTGGATAATCATAGACTCTAACAGATATTTGCCAGAAGTGTCAGGTAGAGGTGTAAGTCTAAATCTTCTTTCGTCATTACAGTTAAACAGCACCAGAGTCTAAAAAACATGGCTCTGGGCTGAGTTTTTGTATTATATTTTATAACGGTACATTCATATTAAAGGATTAGTTCACTTAAAAAAAAAAAAACTTTTGCTGATAATTTACTCAGCCCCATGTCATCCAAGATGTCCATGTCTTTCTTTCTTCAGTTGAAAAGAAAATAAGGTTTTTGATGAAAACATTCCAGGATTTTCTCCAGGACTTCATTGGGAACCAAACGGTTCAAGGTCCAAATGAGAGTTTCAGTGCAGCTTCAAAGGGCTTTAAACGACACCAGACGATGAATAAGGGTCTTATCTAGGACCCTTCGAGTCATGGCTCGAAAAAAGATTTGTTCATTTTGATGAACGAGTTTGAACAGGAGGGTCACGAATGCTCATCACAGAACAGAGCAAGGCGAGCATTTGTGCTTATAAAACTTAAAATTTTTCATTTATTTTTGAAATGACTGATCGTTTCACTAGATAAGACCCTTATTCATTGTCTGGTGTCATTTAAAGCCCTTTGAAGCTGCACTGCAACTCTCATTTGGACCTTGAACCGTTTGGTTCCCGATGAAGTCCATTATATGGAGAAAATCCTGGAATGTTTTCATTAAAAACCTTCATTTCTTTTCAACTGAAGAAAGAAAGACATGGACATCCTGGATGACTTGGGGGTGAGTAAATTATCAGCAAAAGTTTAAAAAAAAAAAAGTGAGATACTCCATTAAGGTTTACTGCATAGCGTCACCTTTGTGAAGAATAAGGATACCCCAAAATTATTATAAAGTTAATTTTAATGTACTATAACTGTAAATGGATCTGGACCTGCAATAACATTTTTTTTTATTTTTACAAATGTTTTTATTTTACTCATTGTTAGTAAAATTAGTTAATGCATTGACTAAGATTAATGGGAAGTGTTACCATAACAGTGTGTGTGTGATATCATATTGTAAGGGCTATTTCTTGTTTGTTCTGTTTTTGATTGTGACATTTAGTTTTTAGATCAGATTCCCTTGTCTGGGCTCTTTAGCTTGTTAGCATGGGTTTTCATTGATTGATTGAGTTGTATCACCTTGAGTTTCTTTCATTTGTTTGCTTTTGTATATAAACCCTGTGTTTTATTCTATTCATTGTCTGATCTTGTTTGTGTACTGGTTGTTCTGTTCATGTTTCGCCAGAGTTTTGTTACTTTTGAGTTTTCTAAATAAAATCAGCATTTGGATCCAGCGCTTTTAACCTCTTGCTAACTTTGCGTGACACATATTCGTTCATGTCTATTTATCAGTAGCGTATTGTCTCATTTATTTATTTTCATGACTACTTTCCCATATTTACTGTTATTATTGTTTCTTTGTTTTATTGCCCAAATTAAAAAGCTTCTTGGATGTAAAAAAAAAGTTGAAATGACAAAAAAAATCATATCTACCATCCATGTCTTTTATGACAGCAGAAAAGGAAATGATCAACTTTATTTGTTAGTTTAAATGCTCTATATTCAGTGGTGAGAGAGACCCAGCAATCACAGGCCTAATCTCTTCCCAATCCTCTTACAGCACCATCATCTCTATTTTTGTTCCTCTTCCTCTGTGTCTCTTTCTCTTTGCCACTCTTTGTTTCTCTCACTCAGTCACTCTTTGCGTCTCTTCCACTGGATGTGAGGACAGTGGACCTTAATCATTTTTACTGCCCCCCCTTAAAATCTCCATTGAATAGCAAGATCCCAAACGCAACAGCTTCCTGCAGTCATATAACACATTTCACAGCTATTGACGCTGGATCTGTCAGTTCTGACACCCAGAGGTGTTGTTCCATTTAAATAAACTTGTGATGAATCTCACAGTCTATTACTGAAATTGTCGAACAACAAATCAACTTCCAGTCTGACAAAATAACCATCTAGAAAAAAATGTTGCTGGTGAGATGTGTGATTAATAGTTAAAGGATGGGAACTGAATTGAAAGCTTTAGGTACGGATTGAATACTTAACCTACTGATATTAAGAATCAGATATTGATAGTTCAAACCAATATGTCCGAAAACATGACTAGAAAACACCATAAACTGCTTCCGCCATGTATTGCTTGATCTTCACATTTGCCAAAGTAACAAAGATCACACCTGATAATTGGTGATGTTTTTCTCAGAATCTCTTAAGATTTAATCAACACCACTGTATTTATGGCAGCAGAAACAACAACGACACAGACAGATGGCAAGAAGTGAACACAGGGGGATTTAAAAACACATTTGAAACACCTGAAAATCTCATTTATCATGGTATGCATTTAGGTCCAGAAATTAGGGCTGGGAAAAATTACATATTTGACACTGGCATTTCAGAAAGTATCTTTAAGAGATGGAGTAAGGGAAACCGAACATTCACTGAGCCAACAGATTAACAACAACAACAAAAAAAACAACAAGTCGATATCATGATATCATATCAGGATATCATGATAGATAGATAGATAGATAGATAGATAGATAGATAGATAGATAGATAGATAGATAGATAGATAGATAGATAGATAGATAGATAGATAGATAGACATCATGCTAAAATAAAACTCAATTAATGACAGATAATAAAAAAATAGTACAACAGCTTTTACCATTAACAAATTCAGCCATTAACATCTAACACCAAAGCCATGTTTAATAGCTTTTCAAAGAACAATTGCCAGTCTGTATTGTTTGTATTCAGGCCTATTTTTCCCACTCGTTGTGCTTCCACGCAAACCACCCCTCTAGATCCTTAATCCCACAGGACAACACAGATTAGTGTGTATCTCCAATGCTTGTGTGTTTTTAGCAACATTACAATATTTATAGGCCTATTTTTGCATAGTGCAAAAAAAAAAAAAAATAAATAAAAATTACACTGATTAATAATCTTATAATATAAAAACACGTGTTAATTTTAAAGAATAGGATTTAAGAAGAGCAGTGTTATTTTAAGAGGCTTAGACTGTTGGTGAATAGCCTATTGTAAAGCATTTCAACGCACACACATATAGAAATGTCAATAATTCCACAAATCACAATGTCAATAATTCCACAAATTAGCCTACATTCAAAAACGTCAGTGATTTTTGCCGTAAAACAACTTCAGCAAAACATTTCTTACTTTCTCCGACAATCGCCTTGAGTCCCAGAGATGCCATCGTGCCTCCTCCTGTTATCCTCTGCCTGCTGGAGTGGAGTCTGGAGACTGTGGACTCGAAGTGCGCGCTCAGATCTACAGTTGGGATAAATGGGATGTGGTGCTTGCGTCGATGCCTAATCCCACTACACTACACGCCTCCGCGGTTTCTCTATTGACATGTGTGCATATTAAGCTTAGCCTTTCAGAAGCTTCTATAATGTTTTTGACGAAGCCCTTACTGTTTTTGTGAGTTTTGAGCGATTTATGTTTTGGGGTATTGAATACCGTTATGAATCTATATGAAAGCTAGATGTTTGAATTTAACGTCATGAAATATTAACATGAATAATGGACACGAATGATTTTACAATGTAGGCTATTTAGTCAGGCTAAGAAGTGAACTAAAGGAAATATTTACAGAAAAAAAGACCACTAGTATCCACTAGAGGGCGACATCGTCTTGTTTTATTCTACCTAACACAAGCTGTTTCAGAGACGCTTCATTCATTTGAACAGTTTTAAATGTCTTTGAAACTCTACAACGCGACGGCTTATTAGCTATGCATAAAAGGAACAGAATAGGGGTTTTGCTTTTATCTTTCTTCTTTCAGTAAAAATGAGTTAATAATAGGTTACATTTTAGGGCTGCCAAATTTTGAGTTCAGGTTGGAGTGAGAATTGTGGAGAGAGGGGGGTATGTGAAAAAAAAAACTTTCATCACAAAAAATTGTGATTGTCAAAACATTTGGTAACTAAACACTAACAGGATTATATTAAGTTTAGAGACAACATGTTACATGACTAGTAGGCAACTGTTTCTTATTACTGCTTAACATCTTGATTCAATATCGATTCATTTTTTTCAAAGAAAAGCTGATAATTTGTTTTATATCAAAAGTAACCTGTCTGTCGGTGTCAGTCCTCTTTGCTGTGCGTGAGGAAAAAAATGCGTGAATTCACGCTCAATGCGAGAGTTTCCAATTAATTAAATAGACATTGGATGCTTTATTTACAGCAATTGCACATTGCACAAATTTGTAATGCCATATATGTTTTTAAAATTTTATTTTTGTTATGTCCAATGTCCTGTCTTTGTCTATATATATCGACTGATTGGGTCATCTTCGATTCTAGGCATAGACAGTAAAAGAAATTCTAGACTATTTTAAATCTGATCAATAGGCTATTTTCACCTCCGTTTCGTTATGCTTACTTCAGTTAAGATGTTGAAAAAACAACAACAATGAGTTCGGTCAATTTCATATTCAGTCATTATAGCCTACATGTATTTGTTTTGTGTCATGAATGTGTTATTTGTACACATGACGTGATTGCACGTTTTTTTCAGTTCAGCAGTGGCGGGGCGTGTTGCTCAATGCTCAGTCTTTGAAAGCACGCGCTTCCAAAAGTGAAACAAACAAACAAAGAAACAAACAAAAATGAACCAGTAAGTGCGTGCAAAGACATTGATGGGAATGTTTCGTTCACTTTGCTCTAAAAAAAATCGAGTCCAGATTTATATAACCCCGCCTTCAGCACGCTCATGTGTCTCCCAGAGACAAGTGCGTTTTGACGCTGAAACCGAGCACACTCAGCGGGACTGAAGCCTTGGATCTAGAGTTTAGGAAAACTGAGCCTTTAGGAATCCAGCACGGTGCCTGTCAACTCTATATGCAACTCCAACCATCTTACTGCGTTCAAACTACTCGAGTAAGGGAGGAGCCGCTCGAATCAACTCCAGTTTAAATCTTATCAGAAGAAACCAGCGCCCAACTGCTGCTACTGCACAGCTGCTCCTCTGAGGTGAATTAAGTTCTTCGATCCAGACGAATTGGCGATATAACAGCGACGCGATGGGTGACTTGATATCAACTCACCTGGATGAAGGCAAACGGGAGGTTATAACAGGTAAGCGCTTTAATGGACGTGTCTGCTAACGGCAAGACGTGATAGATAATCAGTGATGGTATGTAAAATATGGTGTTGCGAAAGACTTGCTGCTTGCTGCTATCATTTCAGTTAAGGCCAGTGCCAGGGTTTTGGGTGAAAGGGTTTACATTCCGCCCAAAAACAAAGATGTGTGGGATAATACACTTTGTGCTGTTCCCTCAATGCACTTTGCTGTGACGTGGCACATTTCCTGTTACTTTTTACAAGTTTTGAATTACATTCAGTGTATAAATATTCAGTAAGATAATAACAGTGATTTCACTGTGTAAAAAATAGGATTCAAATCATCGCTTTTCCATTAGAATCAACAAGATGAATGTGAGTTGCGCAACCTAAGTATTGGTAGCTCAAATAAATCATGAAATATAAATTAAAGTGAAGTCAAAATGAATTTCTGTGGGTGGAAAGTTGGCCTGCATCTCTTCAGTGCTGTCTGGTCAGGTGTGGTGGAACAGGTTTAAATAAATAAATAGCCTACTGACAGTGGATTGCTGGTAGATTCCCTAGCAGTGCCAGAAGTTTTGGGCAAATTGATTTTAAAGTGCAGTTTTGTTCTAACAGTATAAAACAAGGCATACTGTACTACATTTAAGCACACAACATTATTTAAAAAAAAAAGATCATTATGAACAATTATGACTATTAACTTGTCTAGTACATAATGCAATACGGTCTGCCTGGATGAGATTCATGAAGTATCTAAAGTTGATGGAAATGTTTTTCAATGCTGATTTCAGTTGTGTTGTTGTTTTCATATTAGCAACACTTGTTTCTAGGACAGCAAATACAGGCATCTGAGAGATACAGGTCACTACGATGTCTAAAAGAGGCATTGAACCCAAATAATTCATAGCTAGAGTAGAATCCAGGCCTAGAATCAACAATTTTTAAATATATTAAATGTTAAAAATCAGTAATGCATCAAGTGGACATTAAATGTTATTGATTTATTTATTAAATGTTCTTTTAAAAAAATAGAATAAGTTAAATAATGTTTCACTTTTTGATTTAGTTGTCTGGAAAAAAATCATCTGACTGGAATGTCAAAATCATTTACTGTGGGGAATCAGAAGCACAGAATTTGCTTTATATATTTTTTAAAACAATGCAAGTATAATTTAAATGATTAATGTTTTCCTTATTCATCCCTTTCAATATCATTTGATGAAATCGCATTAGGAAATGGCAAAAGAGAACTGTTAACTTCCTATCTTCCCTGCTTTTTGCACATTTTAAGAGAAAGCACATATCAGATATGGAATCTCAGGAATGCATGGGAAGCCTAACAGCAGTACGGAGGCTGTCTGGATGATCTGTCATGCTTAACATTAGGATAACCTTTGTTCAGGACTCAAGGAGGTCATGTATGCTTTTTAATTTTTCCTTAAGTGTATGAAATATTCTTACGTCTACGGTAGGCTGATGTCTTTTCAGTTGGGTGACTCTCTCTTTACTGACAAGGGAAAGGTGAGGTCAGAGTCCTACATCATTTTTTTAGTTTAGTTTTTTTTTTTTTTTTTTTTTTTTTTAATTCATCTTCCTGTAGTCCAGAGAATGGATAAAGTCATCTTCTCAAAATAGTGAGTGGGGATTGGCAATAGAATGACCTCAGCACTTCCTGTCTCAATTTTTTTTAAGCAATCTGCTTATCTTTGAGTTTACAATGGCTGACAGCTTTAGGTGCTGCACATGTTTATTTTACATTGTATCTCATAAGGTTTCTGATTTTGTTTTGTTTGTTGAAGCATGTTTTGGGGTCAAATCTACGGTCTTGACGTGATGGTGAAGTTGGAGGCATTTTTAGAAACAAATTACACTGTTTTGAGTAGTTGGGGAGGGGGGGGGGTTCTTGCAGGAAACGCTTTAATGAGATGTTCGTGGAAAGGGAAGTCGTGGTACACTAATGGAGTGGGATTCTTCTTAACAGAGAATGTTTGAAATGGAGCTTTGTAGAGAGGTCATAGTGCACAATCCACCCCACCCTTACTTCCAATAATGTGTGTGTTCGTCTGTTGGTTCTCTCATATTGCTAATGCTCTAGACTGGAATTCAGGCAAAAATAGAAGTTAGTCCATAGTTGGTCTGAAAACCATCTAATGTCAGTTTCATTGTGGGAAAACAAGAAGGATAGATTTTGAAATTAAATCAAGGCGTACCGAATGCTTATTCTTCAGAATGAGATTTTTGCCCAAGGGTTTATGTGACTCCATCATCAGTAGGTTTAAATGGGGAATTTTCCATAAGGCTTGCTTACTGTTGGACTCAGCACCAATGAGGCTCTCAGGACAATTAAAACATATGTTGAGCACAGCATGTTTATAGATCACATCCCAGCATGCTTCACTCACTGTAGCAACACAATAGATCCTCGAATAACACTGCAATTTGATCAAAGTATACCATTGTAAATAATCTTTTCATCATATCCTTAATTCAAGTGCATTGTGCTAAAAAGAAAAACGGCATATTGCTTTATCTCTCATAAAACTTTCAAGTGTATTGTGCTGTAATTTATTTAATTTATTTATTATAATTATGGCCTTGCTGCTGTGTCCTTAAGCAAGGCATGTATCAGTTGCTAAATTCCCCCTTGTCCGATTTTATATCAGCTGCTGTACTTAATCCAAGTTTTCCCATAAATTCCATGAATGCAAAAAGCTCACTCATTGGCCAGTACTGTATAATCAAACGATATCCTTTATCTAAAGTGTTTGAGCTGTCAAATTCAAAACCCATTTGTTAGAAAATGTTAATGGAATGTTATAAACTAGACGAGGAGCACATTATGTTGAATATGTGCAGTATTTTATAACAGACTATTGAATTATTGAAAATTGAATGCACCCGAGATGGTAATGTGGCCATGACACGAAGAAGGCTTGTGCGTTTGATTTTCAATAATTCAGCTTCTGCAGTCCACGTATACCAAAGAAAATGTAATGCTGAATGAAAATTTATTGTATACACAATTCCTTTCAGAAGTTTGTAAATAAACTTTTTATCCAGAAAGGATGTGTTAAAGGAGTAGTTCACTTTTAAAAAAACTTTTGCTGATAATTTACTCAGCCCCATGTCATCCAAGATATCCATGTCTTCCTTTCTTCAGTTGAAAAGAAATGAAGGTTTTTGATGAAAACATTCCAGCATTTTTCTCCATATAATGGACTTAAACCAAACGGTTCAAAGGGCTTTAAAAGGGCTTTATACGACACCAGACGATGAATAAGGGTCTTATTTAGCGAAAACAATTGTCATTTCACAAATAAATAAAATAGTTTAAGTTTTATAAGCACAAATGCTCGCCTTCGTGACTCTCCTGTTCGAACTCGTTCATCAAAATTAACAAATCTTTTTTCTAATCATGACTCGAAGGGTCCTAGATAAGACCATTCATCGTCTGGTGTCGTTTAAAGCCCTAATAAAGCCCTAAGTTTAATTTGGACCTTGAACTGTTTGGTTCCCAATGAAGTCCATTATATGGAGAAAAAATCCTGGAATGTTTTCATCAAAAACCTTCATTTCTTTTCGACTGAAGAAAGAAAGATGTGGACATCTTGGATGACATGGGGGTGAGGAAATTGTCAGCAAAAGTTTTTTTTTTTTTTTTTTAAGTGATGGTATAAACTTTTACATTGTTACAAACATTTCTGTTTCAAATAAACACTGCTATTTTGAACCTTCTATTCATCAAATAATCCTGAAAGAGTGTATCACAGAATATATAAAAACACCAAATATCAGGATGATATCTGACGGTTTCATTATCATGCTCTTCTTTAAAGAATAAAACAGGAACATGACCAAAGTGATTTGGGATTTCCTGCTAGATAAGCGTGAATGACTCCAGCCGACAGGTTTTGCTGAGCTTGTATGATTGCAACATGTAAAGAAAGTTAAGAATTGATCCTTGAAATTGTATCAGTCTGATTGAGTTGCTCTGTGAAATAGTTTGTTTCATTGGGTAATTAAGTGCAAGCACAATATCTCCAATGTGAGGCTTCAGAGTTTCTCCTTGAAGTGGCTGCTATATGGTAACGCTAATTTGATTTGCCTTTGAGCTTGTAACGAAATTAAAGGAACAAGGAGTGGCACCAAGTATCACATGAGACTCGTTCAGTGAATGACTCATAAACAAGCAGCACACACTCACAAAAGGTCTCAGTCTTTAACATTCACATTAACATACACACATGTCCTTGTCTTGTGGTTTCTTCCAGACCCGGGCCCTGGGTAACTCTCATTAAACCTCTCAAAGTAATGTGTTCTCTTAGCATCCTTTTTTTCATTCTAAATCATATGTTTGTTAATTCTTTCACACATCATATAGCAGAGAATGTTCTACAAGTTTCCCATGGTCATTGACAGCTTAGAATGTTCAGGCATGGAAAGATTCATGAGTCAGAAAATGTGGGAACACTTACTTTCACCTTCCCAGTACTTTCAGAATGTATTCTCATTAACTGTTTTCATGTACCTGTTTTTATGCACATTTTATGGTAAAATCAAGATGGAAATAATTCTAAAAATGTGCATTAAAAAAATGTATTTTTATTTTTATTGATCTTCAGCAGATGATTGAAACACATTTACTGAATAAACCCTTTGATGCACAAAATAATGATAATAATAATATTAATTTGCCTCCCTGAGGCTGAACAGATGTGATTGGTTCGCTTGTTAGTGCAGTTATCCAATCTCATTGCACACCATCTTCAATGTTAAGGTCAAAGTCTGTAATTGAAGTTATAATGACCTCCCAGAAGACACAAATGCATTCCCAAACATCATGCATCCGAATGCAAGATAACTTGGCAGCGTTTATTGCATTTTGTCTGTACACAGTGGCTTCCATGATTGCAGCAACTTCCATTTTTATTACAGATGTTCCCCTGAACACATGGGATGGGAAATAATTCTTTATTCACAAATGTTTCATGCAGGATATTCAATTTTGCATGTTAAATTCGCAACATTGTCAGTACCAGAATCTGAGCTCCCAGATTTCCCTCAAAAGAGCTTTCACTCTTGTCTACTCTGACATGGACACATTCCAAAGAAACTTCCTTTTCCTCCCCCCCCCCCCCCCCCCCCCCCCTGAAGACCAACTGCCCCCTGTGTGGTCAGTATGCTGGTATTGTAATTATCTTCCACTAGTGGAACTGCTCTTTAAGTGTCTATCTCCAAACCTCCACGTTACCAAAGCAGAGCTTGGCAAGATTTTATTCCCACCATCAGACTCATGCACTTTACTGAGATGTTTGTTTTGGTGTCGAAATCTGTTCCTGAGAAAAGCGTGCTTCATTTGTTGGATTTGTGTTGAGACATGGATTGTGAAATATTGTGTGAGTGTGCATTTGGCATGGCAGCGCAGCACTGAGGGATCTGCCCTAGGATGTTTGTTTAAGATCGATGACTGATCGGTTTGAAAACTGCCTAGCCCTTACAGTCAGCTCTGTTCCCACCATTACTGTCGTGTGTAATTGCTGAACTACACTACCCATAATCCTGAAACGCTCAGTCTCTTTACTAATCTGCCATTCAAAGAAGACGCTGTTAAAGGGTTAGTTCACCCAAAAATGAAAATTCTGTCAGTATTTACTCACCCTCATGTTGTTCCAACCCCGTAAGACCTTCGTTCATCTTCGGAACACAAATTAAGATATTTAAGATATTAAGATCGCTCCTGCATACAGTCCATAGGCTTCTTGAGGGACTGGCTCTTGCTGTCCTCGAAAAGTCATTAAAGACATCGTTAAAATAGTCCAAGTGACTACAGGGGCTCAATCTTAAGTTTATCAAACGACGAGAACACTTTTGTGCGCAAAAAAACAACAAAAATAACGACTTTATTTCAACTATTCACTTCCTTCTCCATGAGCCTGTAAGTCAGTTAACGTAGTGTGGTTGCGTAGAGCTACGTCACACGTAGGCTCACTATTGGCCGACGCTGGTCATGTGTGTGTGATGCGTGTGACGTACAATAACAGAAGCTTACGCTATTAAACTAGTAACCTGACTCGCGCAGAGGGAGAAATAAACGAATAGTTGAAATAAAGTCGTTATTTTTGTTGTTTTTTTGCGCACAAAAGTGTTCTCGTCGTTTGATAAACTTAAGATTGAGCCCCTGTAGTCACTTGGACTATTTTAACGATGTCTTTAATGACTTTTCGAGGACAGCAAGAGCCAGTCCCTCAAGAAGCCTATGGACTGTATGCAGGAGCGATCTTAATATCTTAAATATCTTAATTTGTGTTCCGAAGATGAACGAAGGTCTTACGGGGTTGGAACAACATGAGGGTGAGTAAATACTGACAGAATTTTCATTTTTGGGTGAACTAACCCTTTAATGTAGAAAGTAGAAACCCGAATTGGGCTAAAGTTTTTGCTTCAAAATAAAGTTTTTGTTTAAATTTAGGGATTCGTTTTGTATGGCTAAATTGAGGATTTTATTTAATTTCAGCTTTATTTCAATTAATGAAATTTAGTCTTCGTCAGCTATATCAACGCTGCAGTAGGTACAATTCAAATATTTCATAGCTTTCTTGGCATGTAGTGTAAGATCATCACGCATTTCCCTTCGCCTCTAATGTTGTACCAATATCAGGGTGACCTTATTCTCAGCCTCCTTGTCTCCTTTTTCACATTTCTCTCTGTTATGTACTGCCTGCACAACTGCCTAATGGCTTTAGCAGTTAATTGAATTATATTCTCTGGCTTTATGGGGCAAATAGCATGGATTGAGAGTTGGTTGGGAGATATCATAGGCAGAGATTTTAAGTTCTGCATGTGTTGTCGTAGACTACATTCAGAGCAGGAACATTTTAAGGTGTTTCTGTGTGCATTTGACTTGGCAGACTGAAGTATGTAAATGTTAAATGTCAGGCTAATTTGTTTTGATGGGAAATTTTGATTAATAACACTGTTGAATTTGAGCATTAAGCTGTATGGAACTGATTTGTTGCTGTCTCTCCCTGTATGAAACATAAGTCATAACGATCAAATAACATGTATCCTAGCTTACTGTCATTTCCCATTTTCATCTTTATTTTTAATGTGCAGGTGATCTATGTCTTACCAAGGCATTAGACAACTAAGTTTTACCTTTATTGTCTTCTCTTTGACCATCATAAGTGCTTTATTTTTCATGCCTCTCTCTACTTTAATGACATTGTGTTACATTGTAAACGAACGGACAGGAATGTTGTTGGTTTTTTTTTATTTCTGTTCTCTTTCCTTGAATTTTTCCAAGAGACTGAATGCCTCCAAAGTTTTACAACAAGCCCTACATAGTCATTTGGAAAACATTCCACCAGAAAGCAGTCAATAATTGAGTTGCCTTTGTTCCTGTGCCAAATGCAGTGCTGATCTGCTTTTACATGCATGTGAAGGGCAAAGCAGTAAAGCTCAAACATTGTAATCTCCATTTCTGATCAGATACACGAAGCTCAGTGTGAATTGCTGTTAATGTTTTAATGGCCATTGACTTATTGTACCACAACGGTCTGTTGTACGGCAACAGTGAGTCCTATGTATCTAAATCTACCTTAATATAACTGCCTTTCATGTGATTTAAAAAAAAAATATTGCTTCACATTTTATCATTGTATATGTTTTATAATATGTTTAATATTTCATTTGATACCATTTGAATCAACTTATTTGGCTTTATAGTATTAAAAACTACCAGACATGCAGTATAAAACAGTGTTTAAAATCAGAAATGCTTTTGTCAATGGCCTCACATTAAAGGTAGGGTGGGCAATTTCAGAGAGGCTAACAATAGCAAGCTAGCTTTAAAAGCAAGAGATTCCTCTTCCAAATCCATGCCCCCTTTAAAACACATGAACACACACTGCAGAGTCTGCAAAATGTCATGAGAGAGGGCTTAAAATGATCTCAGGTTTCAAAGCACATAACATGACAAGTAGGGCTTCCGTCGATTTAAAGATTTTTCTTGTCGATTAGCAGTCGTTCATTAAGTGATAAGTCGACTAATCACATATATTAAGAAGCCATATACAGTATCTCACAAAAGTGAGTTCACCCCTAACATTTCAGCAAACATTTTATTATTTCTTCTCAAGGGACAATACTATAGAAATGAAACTTGGATATATTTTATTGTGCTGCTTGTATAGCAGTTACTGTCCTCTGAAAATAACTCAACATAAAGCCAATATTGTCAAAATAGCTGGCAACAAAAGTGAGTACACCCTAAGTGATAATAGCTGTACGTCGTTTAACCATGCAAAGCCATATGTCCTATTCATCATGTTCATGTTTTGGTCTGCTTGACAGGAACATGCAAATTTGTTTATCTTGTATTAGAGCAGTTACAATTTGTGCTTTGAGTACAATTCTCTCATACTGGCCACTGGATGTTCAACATGGCACCTCATGACAAATAACTCTCTAAGGATTTGACAATTGAATTGTTGCTCTACACAAACATGGCCTAGGCCTGAGTTACAGTCCAGGCCTGGGTCATACAGAGGTTTTCCAAGGGTAAATCAAAGAAGTTGAGTCCTTGTGCTGTGCGTCAGGAGCAGAAGCTGGCTTCAAAAAATGGACGCATGATCATGCCACCATTGCTTAAGGTTTCAGAAGCGGAAAGTCAGCTTGTGAGTGCTCAGACCATATGCTGCACACACGGCAACAAGTCGGTTTGCATGGCCGTAGTCCAAGAAGGAAGCCTCTTCTGAAGCTGAAAACCCGCAAAAAGTTTGCTGAAAGCAACCTGTCCAAGAGCATGAATTACTGGAACCAGGTCCTGGGTTTTTGATGAGACTAAGATAAACTTATTTGGCTCAGATGGTGTCCAGCATGTGTGGCAACACCATAGGAGTACCAAGAAAGTTGTGTCTTGCCTACAGTCAAGCATGGTGGTGGTGGTGGTAGCATCATGGTCTGGGGCTGCATGAGTGCTGCTGGTACTGGAGAGCTCAGAACATGATGCCCTCCAAACACACCGCCAAGATGACTTCCACAGAAGATATATGTAGATTGTTTAATAGACCACTTCTGTTATTGATTGCTATTAGGATGTAATGAGTTTCAACCAGTATAACAAAACTGTTTATAAAAAAAAAAGTCATTCCTTATTATAAGTTTTTGATGTCACTTCACTTCAAGGTTCCTTCTCTATTTTCATCCTTCCTATGAAAAAAAACAGGGTTTACTTTTTAGCTACTTATGACGCAAACATTTCATGTTGTTATGCCTTTATAGAGAAACAATGTTGGTTAAGCAGTTATGTTATGCTTGCATATATTTACAACTGTTTTGATCATAGTTGATGGTTGCATAATATACCAGTTCCTTTATTGTATAATAATTAAAAACATTAGGTCTAATGTACCTGTAATATAATATGTAGTAAGTGTGTGTGTTTCTTTTTTAGCACGAACAGGGGAGCTGATGGGATATTTTGGCCGGCTATATGAACAGCAGTATGCCGTTGCTCTCTTTAACCAGATGCGCTATGACGTAGAGGGTGGAGGAGGCCCTCAGCCTCAGCTTCTGCACAGGAAGGTAAAGCTCTGCCTTTTTCTATTCCTCTTTTTCAGCTGGATGTTTTCTTTTAGGAGCGAGTGCAACTATTTAAATCAGGGTAATTTCTCCCAGAACTGATGTCTGTAATGTCAAATAGCAAAGTGGAGTTAGGGATAATTGCTCTGTTTGAACAAATGCAGACTTGTTTGTTTGAAATGTGTAGTATTATCACAGTATGACCCTGTAAAGATGTGCAGTTTGCACACTTTTTATCCGTCAGTCGGTGTGTGCGTGTATGTCTGTAGACAGAGACACTGGGTGGGCAGAGTAAACATAAATTAAGTAGGCTACTTCCAGTCTTAACATCTCTCTACATAATGTATAATTAGGTACAGTGGGTCCCCACTGAAAATAGAGGGACATCTCTCTCTCTCTCTCTCTCTCTTTCTCTTTCTGCTTAAACTTCAATTCTTGTGTTTCTTTCATAGGTGCCTCTAAAGAATAAGTCCATCTTTTCAGGGCCTTTGTTTCAGTATCTAGAAGAGAACAAAAAATGGAGGAATCGTTTTCTCTTTATTCCTGACTCCTATAACATCAACTATTATGAGAACAAACAGGTAATGAGTTTAATGAAAATCTTATTTTATCTTGTTTTATCTTATTAGCCAGGTCACCTAAGCAACTTTTTGACCAAATAATTAAAAAAAGGCCTTGGCCAAAAATCTGTTTCTGTTGATTTAGGCCCATGACAGAGGACTGCATCCTAAAGGCACCATTAACTGTGCTGGCTACAGGGTCTTGACCTCTATGGAGGAATATCTCGAGCTTCTTAACACCAGCCTACCAGGTCAGTCTAAAGGAGAGAGTGGAAAATGAGAAATAAAGATGGGAAAATGAGAGAATGTTCATAAAGGAAAGATCTATAAAGAAAGCTCTCTAAAACTGGGTGAAAGTCACTGGCTTACTGGTTTTGCTCGGATCACATTGTCATGACAATGAAGTTGAAAGATAAGATAACTTCACATAGACAAGGTCAGTAAGCGATTCTGTCACACAAGATCTTTAAGTCATGTGGCTCTGACGTTTCAAACCATATGTGTTAGTTACCCAGCCCTGCACTGCAAGTATAACTCGAATATATGATGTGTGTGTATGTATATATATATTATTAGGATTATTATTTATTATTTATTTATTGTATCAAACCTGCAGCCTGTATTTAAAATAAACGGAGAGTAATGTTGAGCCAGAGTCCAGATAAGAAGTGATGAAATGGAGTGTGACTAAATGCATTGTGATCTTTTAATGTTGTAAAGCTGTGATCATGATGGCTGTAGAGATCTTTTCATCAGGCCGTATTTAACAGAATATTATTGAATCACGCAACATGCGTTTTGCAGGTGTAAAAGCTAAAGTTGGCAGTTCTCCATTTCTGAAATGTGCGACACAGTTTCCCCTCATCCTCTGGCACCCTTATGCTCGCCACTACTATTTCTGCATGGTGACCGAGAAGGAGCAGCAGAAGTGGAACGCCGTCTTTCAAGACTGCGTCCGACACACCAACAATGGTGAGTCTTAACCCTCTTATATTATTAAAAAGGACCGTACTAATTTCAAGTTTGAAACATCCAAGTTTCCACATTCCCGCCTGTCACTTTAACGCCCAGACACACATTCAAGGCATGACTCTTTCTTTATGGTTATTGCGATTCTTTTGTTTGTTAGAATAAGCTGCATTCAAACTTGCTAGATTAACTGATGTGTTATTTCATTAATCACCTCTTTTAGACATCCTATTATCAAAAAGGAAACTCGAGCGGAACGTTTGGCATGGTTGACTGTATTCATTTGGCCTGTTTGATAATAGAAAGAATTTAACCGCTCAAGGCTGTAAAAAGAGTCAGATGAGATCATAGGGAAAGCTGGAGATGTGCTGCCATCATTCATTCCCTGTGTGTGTGTGTGAGAGCTCTATGACTGTTTTTTTTCTTTAGAGCTTCTGTAACTTTATATAATTAGCAGAAATTATAGTATTTTTTTTCGGAAAATGTCTCTTTCTATGTTTTAGATATAAGACCATTTCTTTGTTGTATAATTCTAGTCAGTCAATCAATTCCCAGACAAACATTTCGTTAATATTTCTAGACGAAATGCTTGCATTTAGGTTTACAAATCTTTCTCAAGAATTTGCTTGTGTAAATCTAGTTACACCATACCTAAGGCTACTAGAAGGTTCATTGTTACTGCGAGAGTTTCCTTCTTTCACAGTGATGTCACTGTCAGATTACTTGATATCCTGTTTTTCACGCCACGAAAACAAGTGTATACTTGTCTGTTTAAACGATATGTAAAGAAAGTTAAACTTATTGAGGTTATGTCAACTGCTTGGAAATATCCCGTTAAATTCAACGTTAAAAATGCGATGACAACGTTCCTGTTGTTGTGGGATGGCATATTTTGGTCTGTTTACATTGGCTACCATCAGGTAAAACACATGAATCTAAAATAATCCAATAAACATGAATTAAAACAATCGAAAATGGAACTCAAAATACTCTTATGCCATATAGAGATTACTGATGACCAAATAAGAAGAAAATAAATTATTTATTCAAAATATAATCATGTGAAGATGACACACACACTATACTACATGCATGTAAACAACACTTGTCCAGAAACACTTCCTGTTTCAGTTTGTAAATGGTTTCTTTATTGTAAATGTAAAGAAAACATGTTGTTGTTTGTTTAACTTTTTGTTGTATATGTTCTGTTGGTTGTATTTCATTCCAACGTTTATGTAGTATTAAAAAACTGAAACAGGAAGTGCTTTTGGACCAGTGTTTACATCTCGCAAAATGATCTATATTGTAATTCATAGTTTTTACATCTACAAGCCATAAATGTAACAACATTTGGCAGCAAAAGTACATATAATGTGATTTCCACATTTCACCATATGTTTTTAATGTAGTATTTTTATAGTCTTTTTCTTTAAAAGTGACTAACTTCTTTTTTTTCAGTGTAGGGTAGTTTTCAGAGGGTGCTGTGTCCCTCGTATGGTATAACCTACTGATTGGGCCTGGGGGGAAAGGGCTCTGACAGTGTCTGTTGACACTAATTGATGTCGTTGAAATTCAGTCTTGTATGTATTGTATTGTAAATTTTGGGGCGTGAGGTTCTCTGTGTCTCATGGACGTCTCATGATCGCTTCTACGTCTACTAGAGCTGTTTTCTCTCTCTGCTGTAGTCCAGATTCCAGAGTGGTCACAGCTGGGGCTGTCAACCCATAATTCAGTTTGGATGGGAGGCTGCCGAGAGGGGAATGCACACTTGCGGCGAAGGCAGTAATGTCCCCTGGGGTATTAAGGCGGCCATCTAAAAGTGTGTGTGTGTGTTAGTTAGCCAAATCCCTGCTGCGTGTAGTATGTTCTGAATGCAAGCACATCTGCAGAGCCCTTTTTCCCCAAATAAGGGCTGGTTCAGTTCTAGTTAAGTTCTTTGCTATTCATTAGTAAGTTAACAATGTTCTCTGACATATTTAAAATATATTAAACTCTGTAATTTTCTATTCTCACTGTTTGGTAAGAAGCCAGGTTAGATGTTAGCGGAGACTGCGCTTCTAGAGTGGTGACATTGACCATTTTGACGTCACATAATAAAGAGGAATCTCTCTCACGCGCTCGCTCTCTGTTTCGCTATCGCAGATACTAATAGAAGTGGATAAGTGGTTTTCTTTTTTGGCTTTTGATGAAGCATACACCCTGTAGTGCTTAATTTCTGGAATTTATCTAAACACAGATACTGAACTCAAGCAGAATTGACTGCTTTTAACAGCAGAACAAATGCTTTTTGTATGTACCTGGCACCTGCAGTTTGAGGCAAACTCTGCAGAAGGAGTGTAGGTTTGAATCATGTAATGGGCTGTTCTTCATAATTTGACCACTGATATAATTGCTCTTCCCTTTTACCTGTCAAAATCACACGTCCATTATGTAAGTACTGCAATTATGTTAAGTACTGTCCTGGTACAGTCATTATTTTGTGAGCTTGTTGTGAGTGGCAGCTTTTCCTGCAATCCTTTGAGCATTGCTGCTAGAAAATCTACTTTGCCACTGCAAAAGTAATCAGTTAAGTTAACCTGAGTTGCCAATATGAGTTTGCAGCCCAAATTTAATGTGAAGAGATAAAAAATACAGTACCTTAAATGATGGAAAGAATCGTCTTTCTAAATGGTCTGATTCACAATAAAATGACTCATAAAAGCCATTTTTTTTAGTGAATATTATCTCATAATTTGGCAGCAGGGCTGATGGGGTTGATGTTCACTTAAAACATAACTGACTGTATTTATGTGAATACCTGCCAAGATCAGCGTTTTTGATATTACAGTATTTTGTGTGTATTTGAATGTTTAAGCACAATAAGCAAACAAAAATTACACAATTAGTAATGCGAGATGGCTTTACGTGCACAGACTTTGCGGAAGCACAAAATCTGCGGGGAATTAGTGAAATGGGCAATATGCGCAATTCCACGAGGCGGGGTGAGGCGGGGTTTTGTGTCAACTCCCTGTCAGAGAGATGAGAAAGCGTGAAAGCCCAGCAGATATTGGAAGCGTTTCAGATATTTCAGTGTAGATGCAGTATGTATTTAAAAAAATCGATATTTTTGACAACACTACATTGCACTTTTTTATTATATATATATATATATATATATATATATATATATTATTATAAAATTAGACCTCCAAATTACAAATTAAACAAAAGTGACAGTAGGAGTGACTGCGCTACACGCCACTGCTGAAATCCACCTGCATTTGGTGGATGTTAATGTCTAGCCCTGACTATAAATATTATACATAGTCAATAAAATGTAGTTAAGTAGGACTAATGTCTCTTTATTTATTTGACAGTAGATGGCTCTAACAGATGTTGTTTTTTTTATTTTATTGGGTAATGCAAGTTTATTTGGCAAAACTACTTTTGAGAATTAAAGCATCTAAACAGAAAACAGGAGCTAGGCGCATGTCTTGGCCTTGGTAAACATTGTGTTGGATCAGTATTGGTTCAAATTGCGCTTCACTAGCTCTCTATTAAGAGCCAAATGTAATGTGTAACTCAATATATTAAGTTGCTTGTAAAAGCTAATCTGTCCCCCAAAAGGCGGTACGACTCTAAGATCCAGGAACATGCAATGCTCCAACAGGACAGTTTTCTTCTGTGAATGAATGCCCAGAGGAGTAAACCCATGCGTGCATGAACAGAGTTAGATCAGGGCTGGATCCTGACAAGTTTTAGCTTGTTTTTGGAAATGCATGATTTACTGTATACTGCTTAATCCTAAGGCTGTCAAAGCAATCTACCTTCTACCGTACTTTACTAGAAGTTAGGATGGGTATCGTTTAGATTTTTTAAACTATATGGGTGGCAAATCAATATTTTTAAAACGGTGCCTGAACTGATACTTTAAAAAAAGAGAGCCACAACCCGATTGTGAATGACATTTAAAGAATGCCTTTTTTTATATTTAAAAAAGGAATATAATAAAATCCATTTTAAAATATTTTAAAAATGTAAAGTATACTTAAATATATGCATATAAGTAAATACAAAACTATTTATATATTTCAATTTATATTACAAATTCACAATAAAACTTAAGCCACCTACAATAATTTAATACTAAATAAGTTACAGTACTAATAACAGCAAAGTAGTCCGTATTCTTCGTATGCTACAGCCCAGCTTCAAGTTGCAGCAAAAATATGCAGCAAAAATATGACCAAAATTGCCTTCTCTGTCAAAATACGACACCATGTCCCACACAAGGTGACCGTTATTTTAGAAAGCATCACCTCATTATTCCCATGGTGATGCGTCATGCAAACAACTATATAGTTAACTAGAAAATGTGTATCTGTCATGAACAAAACACGTTAAATTATAATTGAAAGTATTTATTAAATTGTGGCCAATAATACTTTATTTATTAAAGTATTATTGCACGCTTCCATATACATCAGTATGTATTTAACAAACTACAATTATTATTTTTTTGCTAGTATCTATAGCCTGGTCCTACCAGGCTCTCGTCCTTTCATTTGTACAGAGAGTCTGGACACTCTCAATTGACAAGCGTTAACTGCCTTGAAGGCGGGTACTCTGGGCAGACTCAATAGTATAAAACTTCAACAGTCACTCTGGATCTGCCATAACCAATCGGCAAAGTTTGGTTGTGACGTTTGTCTACAACTCAAACTAGCTCACCTCATCATCGTTCTCAGCCACTCCCTCTGTTTGCTGATTGGACTAGTAAAAAATTGATCGGAGAAAACCCAAGAATATACAGCAAACCTAGACGTAGTACTGAAGGAAAATGAAAATTGAGCAGAAGTGTGAAGGAGGGCGGAGCCAAGCTAGAAACCTAAAATAAACATTATGTGGTTGAAAATACTGAATCGCCATCTCTGGCTCAGCGCCAGCCAAAGTTGAATTTTGAATATTTCATATCGACAGCTCAGGCATTTAACTACCACCTAAATCTGCGTTTTGATACGGTTCGGGTACATACCGGTTATATTGGTACGATTTCGGTACCCAACCCTAGACGTTGCTGCAAGTATACTGGCCTGTTGACTTCTGTGAGCCTGTGCTGTCAAGAGCGATCTGTTTGGACTGGCGAGCCAGTAAAGTCTGGTATGCGACGGCAATTAATTGAACCATTCTGTCCTTTTTGTTCTTCTGATCTTCCCTGTGTGATTTTTGGCTTGGACGAGGGAGCCTTTAATGTCTGAAAAGGAGCAATGCAGCCTCTGGGCAGGTCACAAATCTTACTTTGCTGTAAATTGTGTTATTTATGGTCATGAGGTGGCCTGCATGAAGCAGCTAGACTGTGACTCACTAAGTTTTATGATGTATGGTCAGGTCGGGGCAGGGATTAATTACATAAGTAATGTATGAATTGTTTACATTAAAGTGTAAAATGTATAAATTGTATACATTAAAGAATGGGATTTTCTGCATCTATGGTTTAAAAATATGGATTTTAGGGTACCCCCAGTTCATCTCAGCCATTCCACCACTGTATATGGTACATGTCAGTATTGGAAAGGTTTTATTGGGCAACTCAACAGGTTTACAGGCATGTTAATGAATTGAGTCCAATTGCTCTTTGAAAGCCTATTGAATGTCTTCGTAAATGCCTTAGTGACAACCTGACGGAAACTACACGAAGTAGTCAGAATTATTGGAATTTCTGAACACTTAAACACGAGTATTTACACACAGTTACATGATGACTGAAAGGGACAAAAATGTGAAACCTCAAAGTTTGAACTTGGTGTTATCTGAACCGAGTCTCCTGTTGTGCGAGATATTTACCAGCTCATTGGTGTCATTAGGGAATGGTGTTTTTTTTTTTTTTTTTCACTAAAGATCCTCACTTTTCTTATTGTCCTTTGATCACCTGGTGTTTTTGGACTTGAGAGAAGTTTTTTTTTTTGGTGATCACGCCAGAATAAGCGACCCGTAACGCTTGTGCACATCTTTTTTTATAACACCTCTCAGGTTCTCCCCACGTATTCATAAATATGCTTGCCCATGTGTGGAATTATTTTTTTATTATATATGTGTATTTGTATATGTATGCATTTAAATACACATACCTGTACATATTGCCTGAAAAATCAGCTTGTAATGCTTGGCTTTTATTTTTGCATAACAACTAACTAAAAATATTCTTGACTATGTGTGCTATTATTATTATTATTTCTTTATTAAGTCTTTATTAAATAAACTCTTTTTGCATAAAACATCTGCGGCTCTTCCAACGTGTTCATAAATGCGCTTGCCCATGTGTGCATGTACTCACAAAGGCATCAAGCTGTGCTGATGTGGAGTGCTGTACTTCCTGTTGGTTCTCCCCCAGCCCCCCACACCCAGCCTGCTAGAACTTCCTGTCTTTGTAAGGGTTCAGGCACTTGCGCACACATGCTGTATGTACTGGAGGCTTTTGCCATATGTGGCCTTTTAGTGTGTCATCATTACTGACATAGGCTATAGATTTGAGCAGCAGCTTGTCACGCCAAGTCAGATTCATACTTCAGCTGGATCAGTCCACTATGACTCCTCAGTTTACTGTGGTAACTATAGCATTGTAGAGAACTACCATGGTAACTGATGAGGCATGCTTCCTGTTGACCATGGTGACCAAAGCAAATTGAAGTCTGTGGTTTGATGGGAAAATCTGATTGTGAGACACGTATATAAATATGAGGCTTCTTTCATTGTGTGTCACTCGTTGTTTTCACTTCTCTAAATTATTAGGAACTGTGTCATGTTGTTATAACGTCATACTATTCAGAAATTAATGTTAATAGTGTTTGATTCTTGGTTTGTTAAAAGTTTTTTTTTTTGTCATTTTCTTGGATATATTGAGTATGATAAAGATGATGTTCTCTTCTCAGGACTGCCTGAAGAATGTAAAGTTCAGACCCCGGCATTCACAGACGCAGTTCGACTTTATCGCCAGGCCCATGGTCATTATGGAACCTGGGACATGATGTGTGGGACGCCTCCACAGGTAAAACGCACATGTGCTTGTATGTATCCCAGGCAGCTCTTGCAAGATCATTTTTGTTCTAGAGCAGTTCTCAACCTATTTTCTTTGGAGATATTTGAATTTCAGTTCACTGAGAGTAGTTCACTTTAAAAAAAAAACAAAAAAACTTTTGCTGATAATTTACTCACCCCCATGTCATCCAAGATATCCATGTCATTCTTTTATCAATCAAAAAGAAATGAAGGTTTTTGATGAAAACATTCTAGGATTTTTCTCCATATAATGGACTTCAATGGGAACCAAACGGTTCAAGGTCCAAAAAACAGTTTCAGTGCAAACTGCAAACTGTTTAAAAGGGCTTTAAATGATTTCAGACAATGAATAAGGGTCTTATCAAGAGAAATGATCGCTCATTTAAATAACAAAGTTTAAATTTTTTAAGCTCAAATGGTTGCCTTGCTCTGTTTTGTGATGCGCGTTCGTGACTCTCCTGTTTGAACTCATTCATCAAAATGAATTAATCTTTTCCAGAGTCAACTCGTTCTCGTTCTCTCAATTTCGTTTGTTGAATGAACCAAATGACACGGAAAAATATTTGTTCCTTTTGATTGAATGAGTTTGAACAGGAGAGTCACGAACACGCATCACAAAACAGAGCAAGGCGACCATTTGAGCTTATAAAACTTAAACTTTTTTTTTTTTTTTTTTTTTAAATGAGTGATCGTTTCTCTTGATAAGACCCTTATTTATCGTCTGAAATCGTTTAAAGCCCTTGGAACAGTTTGCACTGAAACTGTCTTTTGGACCATTGAAGTCCATTATATGTAGAAAAATCCTGGAATGTTTTCATCAAAAACCTTAATTTCTTTTCGACTGAAGAAAGAATGACATGGATATCTTGGATGACATGGGGGTGAGTAAATTGTCAGCAAATGTTTTTTTTAAAGTGAACTACTCCTTTAAGTTAAAAAAATATTTTGGCTTATTTTAAACACAGCTGAATCCAGCACCAGCAGTGCACAATTGGCATTCTAACAAGTTGTACCAGCAGTTTTAAAGCATGTGTTAAACAATGTGTTAAAAAGAACAATCAATCCAGTTATCTAGTGATCTTACATCAAGGTTGGGAACAGTAGTACTGTAAATCTCTCTTCATTTTTTGAGTGAAAAAAGGCATTTAGGTTGGTGGAAAACGTCACACGGTTATTGTTTGGGCCATAATAGAATAGCATGAAGGTCGGAGCTAAATTCAAATCATGGTGTCCCTGTAGAAAAGAGAAAGAGGATGGTAGGGTCGGGTTTATAAGCATCTATCAGCTTTACTTTATAAAATATTGAAATTAATATAGTTATATATTGAAAAAAAGATATTTATATTAAAAGAAGAAAAAAGTCAATTATTCTGCATTAACATTTATACAGTCAGACAACACTGACCGAATGAGTGAAGAAATAGAATAAAAACAATGTTAAAGGAATCTGACCTTGCTTGGCAGGGAGATCTTTTGTCATTGTGAATTGAAACTCTGTAACATGAATTGAATTATTTATACTTTGGCTAATTAGCCAACTCTATCATATAATCTGATAAAGAAATATATTGAAAGTATAAAGCTAAAAATGTAGCATGTCATTGTTTATCATGTGATCCTCCTGGCTCCATCACAGAAGCATTTTTTTTCTTGAGTTGTTAAACGGCATTGTTTTCTCTTGAGCAAGTAAAAACAAAGAAGAAAAACAAAGATATATCATGTGAAAGGCTCGGGAGTGTGACCTCCAGTAACTTGTGACTTTAGATTTGTAAAGAACAGATTAGCCATGTTCACAATATTTTTATCTGAATAATAGAGATTTAACCTACACAGGTTTATTTTTCTTGTAAGGCAGTTACAAAAGTCCTCTAGGTTTTTGGAGGAAGTTACAATAAAAGGTTTAATGGTATATGATCAGTGTCCAGACCAATCTGGCTAAAGTAAATTTGTATTGTGCTTCAGACAAGCCAGATTTCCTTGTATATCTCAAGAATATAATGGGAATGAGTTAATGTAGCCTCCAGGCCAATATGATCCGGATCTGTCACTCGTACTGTCCACTTTATCAATTTTCAGGAATTACTTTTATGCTGGGTTTGCATGTTAAAGTTTTCCATTTTCACACCCATTCAGTTGTTTTCCAATCATATTCTCAGATCCTCGCCAACTTAGTCATGGAGACCCTCCTCCCTGAGATGAGAGACCTCATCACTCCCAAACTGAAGGGCAAGATGCATGAAAGACAGAGGAATTGGATGTTGGTACGTCATTCGTTTGAGATATTGACCTTTTATATATACATTTCATTAATAAACGAGTAAATAAATGTTATTTTACTGTAAAAGGGTGATACTAGGATTTACCTCTACTTGTGTTATCAATGTTAATAGGCAGACTTTGCATGGGATGCAACTTCTTTATTTTATTATCTGTGGCAGTAGCCCAGAAGCACCGTGGGGTCATATATGGCCGGTTGCAGAAACTGCTTAGACTTGTCTTACAAGTTAATCGTCTAATTTTTTTCAAGACTGGTTGTAACTTTTTGAAGTCAGTTAAATAAAAGGTAGATTGGTCTAATTTAAATCCGAAAAGTAAGACTGTTACCCCTTGGTTAACAGAGACTTTTTGTGCAACTGGCCTGGATGTATTACAATGGCTTCTGTCTGATTTGTGATCAGATATCAGATGCAGTGTATGGGCTGGTTCAGAGCCAGGCTCAGGCGCAATATGAAGCAGTAGTGCAGAGATGTGAAGCAGGACGCCCCCCACTCGAATCCACCATCCGCACGGACATGGACCAGATCATCACTTCCAAAGAACATGTGACCAGCAAAATAAGAGGTAGCTTTAATTGGTGATTTATTACTTTATTTATCTTTATCAAGTGACACAAATAAAACTCCCAGACGTTTATCCGAGTTTACATATTTCATACTTTTTAATCAAAATTTATACTATATTTAACTACATACTGTAATGTTGTCATCTCTAAAGCCACGTTAACCTTTTTACTTCTCCCTCTCAGAAAAAGGAACACGTTACTGATTTGTACATTTAATACTAATATGCAACATTTCGGGGTAAATAAGTTACAAATATGTACCTTTTGGAAGGGCACAGCTTTTTTTTTTTCACTACATTGTTTTTTTCTTTGGCTGTTTATTCTCTCTCTCTTTAGTAGTTTTAATGTTATAGTATTTATAATATCATCCATAACATGAACATAATTATCGTCTTATTGTATTGGCCAGATTTTGAATCATTTTAATGATTATGCAATTGAATGATTTTTTGTGTTTGTCTGTAGCTCTTGTGCTGCCTAAGGCAGAGAAGCTTCTGAAGGTGAGCATCCAGCCGTACATCAGCTCAATCCTGGAAGCACTGATGGAGCCCACCAGCAGAGGCTTCTTCGAGGTGCGAGACTTGTTCTTCAGAGAGCTGGTGGACATGAGCAAGAACCTTCTCAATGATGGCAACAAGGAAAAACTCGGGGAGGTAACGCATTAAAAGTTTAACTGGATTGTGTATTATTTTTTTGCCCCCTCCTGACACTATTATGGAATCTTGTTTCGATTTAAAAGATAATTGCGACTTTTTATCTCACAATTCTAGCTTTTTTCTCACAATTGTGAAATATAAACTCGTAATTGGTAGTTACATAGTCCGAATTGCTGGATATAAACTCGCAATTCTGACTTTTGTTCTTGCAATTGTAAGTTTATATCCTGCAATTCTGATTTTTTTCAAGTGTAAACTCTCAATTTCAAGTCCAATTCTGAGGGGGAAAAAAGATTTTGACTTTATATCTTGCAATTCTGACTTTATAACTCGCTATTGTAAGTTTATATCACACAATTCTGAAAGAAAGGTCAGAATTGCGAGACGTAAACGTCTGAATTGTGAGGTAAAACGTCAAAATTACCTTTTATTCAGTGGTGGAAACGAGCTTCCATAGGTTGTACTATCAATGCCAATAGGTTGTATGAGTCATGAAAAACTTTTAACATCACTTAAAACTGTTTTGTCTTTGCTGTCCAGCACATGGAGAAGATCTCCATGCTAGCCTTCCATCCAGTAAAGATGCAGAGCTGCTATGAGAAGATGGAGACTCTGAGTTTAGAGGGACTGCAGCAGCGCTTTGACGTTTCCAGCCCCTCTGTGTTTGTCCAGAGAGCCCAAATCCTAATGCGAGAGGTCAGTCATCTTTGAACCAAGAACAGCAGCAAACTCAGAAGAATTTCCTTTTATAAACAACCGCCACTAATTCTGGCAAGTACTGTAAAACATGCAAAAAATAACTCAGATGTGTGGGACATATTTGTACTTTGTTGCTAGTACCACACATCTGAGTTATTTGCATGCATTTATGCAATCAAGATGGTTTGTTACACTTCAGCAGTTTTGAAGAAGTATACAAATGTCTCTGTTAGGGGGGCTTTGTGCTTTTGTAGGCAAAACAAGCGGTTTGTGTGTGTCTATGTGCCACTTTGTGAGTTTGGTTTGCGGTTTTGGTGTGTATGAAACTGTATGCCCTGAGGAGGTATGTGCTGTTGTGGTAGAGATGTTAAACCTCATTTTGGTCACTAAATTACATAGCTAAAGTTTTAAAGAGTAGCATATGACTTCTGATTGTGAGCACAAGAACACCGCTCATTAGCACTTTATATAAAATACAATTTTGCTACAGAGAGGCATAATTTCAGAGCACAGGGAGTGGAGAAACAAGACTAAACTTGAATTGTGAATTAGCAAAATAATGTTGATCCACCCTTTCTGTATGGGGAAATATGCCCCCTTGTGGCAAAATAGTTTAACAGACGTTAGTCGCTTATGAAATCTCTGTTGTCCTTTTTGAAATGTCATTTGTCTATGTCCGTTTATTTTCATGAACCCATGGACTTATAAACCTATAAACACAAAATGAACGACTCCAAAACACTTGCCTAATTTCTAGGAGACGCATGAAAATGATTTTGGGGGAATTAGCGGGGGGAAATCTGGGCAAAAGTTGTGTAGTGAATCCCAGCAAATATCCATCTGTTTTATGCAGCAAATGGACGATGCAGTGTACACATTTGAGCAGCTCCTGCACCAGAGTTTGGAAGGCCAGGAAGGGGAGGATCTCTGTAAAACTATCCAGCGCTGTCAGGATCGTGTCATCAAGGTGAAACCGAAACACTCAATCTACATATCTGCACATCATATCAGCAAGTCCTTATTTGATATTAATAAATGGCAATTTAAATACCTTTTTTTTTTAAATGTGATCCCTAGAAATTTGACTATGACAGTAGCACAGTTCGTAAAAAGTTCTTCAGAGAGGCTCTTCTGCAGATATTCATCCCTTACATGCTGAAACAGCTCTCCCCATCATGCTCCGCTGTAAGTCCTGTCTCTGTTAATGCAATAATTCTTCTTATAATCTGCAACTACTCATAATAATACAAGTTATTATGTTATTTTCGCAGGAACTCCCTCGTTTCCGGGAGCTAATTTTTGAGGATTTCTCTCGTTTCATTTTGGTGGAGAACATCTTTGAGGAAGTGGTGCTGCACACGGTGATGAAAGATATAATGATGGGTAATGATGACTTCTTTCGAAGAATGAGACCATACAACCCAAAATATTAAAACGTTTAAAGTTTTTCCTTAGTTGGTCAGAACAATAGTGGATGTTACGTGTTCAGATGAAAGGGTGAAAATTCTTATGTTGGTCATACTTCCAAAAAGTAGATTCTGTGATTGCGAATGCCAGTATCCACATCCTCCTCAAAACATTGGATTCATCCGCGCTGTGCCGTGCCGAGGGTGTTGAAGTACAACTCACGTAACAGTTGATAATTCCGCGTATAACTGCAATTGCAGATTTTGAACAGAGATGGCTACAAAGAAGAAAAACTAAGGACTGCAGCTTTAAATACTTTGTTTTATGATCAAACTCTAGAAAAAAGATTATTAAGTTAACCTAAGTTATTTCAGTCAAGTGAACATTTATCTTGAAATATTACCAATGAAGTTACGTTTCATAAAAATCTTTTTAAAGACCATGTGTACCATAGAGAGCCTAAGTCCCGCCCCTCCGCTTCCGGCTCATGGGACCTTATTTCGGAAAAAATATGAATGGTAGTCAATGGCGAGAGACAATTTATCTTTTTATTCCGTCTGAACTGTGCCCTCAATTACACATATGATGTTTGTCAACTTAAAAGATAATTCTGAAAGTTAAAAACTTTGCAGTTTGTCATACAACAGAAGAGTAACATTTAGTTTTATGTGAAAATCACTCTATGAACTACATCTCCCGGGAAGCGAAACGAGATCCGCTGCTCGTGTGTGTGCAGTCTGGTACAAAACACTCGGGTATGACGGCGTAACGTTACGATTATAACGTAAGACTGTAAAAACAATGACAGACAGCCTCAGTAAAGTTAGCTTCATTCATTGAGAGAAAATGTGCGCCTTTGGGGTTTGTAGTCTTTGTAATTACTTATTTTCACAGTCTTATACCTCAATGGTTTTACATCAAACTGCGACTTTCTTTACTTTAAAATGTACCTTTTAAATTGACAAACATCATATGTGTAATTCAGGGCACAATTAAAACGAGATCAAAATATTTGTTGTCTCTCGCCATTGACTACCATTCAATATTTGGTCCCACTTTATATTAAGTGGCTTTAAGTACCATGTACTTACATTTAAATTAATAATTTGATACAATGGACTTATTGTGTACATACATGTTTTTACATTGTACTTATATTTAAAAAATACCAGCATGTAATTACAGCCGTAATTAATTTATGTAATTACATCTGTAATTACACAGCTGACCCATCCCTTACACTTAAACCTACCCTTAAACCGACCCATACCACCACACCTGCCCCTAACCTTACCTGTATCCCACCTCAATAGCACCAAAAGTGATTTACAGTACAACATGAGCACAATAAGTACATTGTACTTATTTTAAAATGTAAGTACATAGTACTTAAAGCCACTTAATATAAAGTGGGACCCAATATTTTTCCAAACTAAAGTCCCATGGTGGTTGACTGGAAGCGGAGGGACTTAGGCTCTCTATAAAGGAATAATTCTAAAATGGCTTTTACTTGATAAAAAAAAGAATGAACTGTCAATCAGAGTGCAGAAGGCATGTAGAAGATGATGTACATCATGGATCATGCATCATGGTGATCATTTAGAGGCCTTCTGGAAAACTCCAGCAGACTGTATGTCACCATCAAACGATTCTGACATTTTAAGAAAAAGAAATAAAATATACACAGATGAACCATTCACAATAAGATCAACAAAATCCGTTTAGAAAATAGATGGGCTGAATTTCCATTTTATATCCTCTTACCTAAGATCTCTCAAACTTTCACATAGTACCTTTAATGCGAACATGTTTGGTCTTATCAACATTTCTTCTATGTTTCCAGCTGTGAAGGAAGCAGCCGTCCAGAGAAGACACAACCTGTACCGAGACAGCATTGTTTTGACCAACAGCGACCCTAACCTTCTCCTCCTGGGGGAGAACCCTCCTATCGACTGGGCTGAGGAGTATGGAGGAATCCAAGAGGAGGTGGACGGAGAGAGCGCGGGAGATCATGAGGCTCAGAAGAGACGCAGAATAAAGCAGGTGGTCTCCATGATCCAGTTGGAAGGCACTACCTCAGTGCTGCCCAACGAGTCGTGCCTGGATGTGCCTGCCGTGGAGAATATTCCAGAGGAGGAGACTGAGGTTCGTTCAAATGCCTCATTATCCCAAAAGTCAGAGAAGCAAGTGCCCAACGGAACCAAAGAGGATTTGAACAGAAATGCGGTTGAGGAGAAACCACCAACAAACAGAAGTACACTAAAAGAGGAAGAAAGCACAACAGAAAAGTCACTACAGGACACAGCCTGTGTAGACTGTGCCATACAGGAAATCAAGAACACAGTACAGGAAGAGGAACATGAGCTCAGGACACAGAAAGCTACAGAGTCATCATCATCCTCAAAAGAGGAAACTACAGCTGAGGAGGTAGAGTCCAGCCCAAATTGCCAAGAAGGGGCACGGCTAAACCAAGCAGACACAAACAAAGATACACCTTCAAGCACAGGGCAGAAGCCTTTGGATTCACCAATAAGGGAAGTGGAAGCCATGTCGCCATCGGAACAACAGGAAAATCACATTACGGCGAGCACTCAAGACTCCCACATGGAAAAAACCATCGCTTCATCACAGCACGATGACCGCGGATTCCAGTTGCCCACTAATGAAGCAGAAGGGGAGAAGCATCATACGGTAAAGGAGGAGTGCAGTCACTCCGAAACGGATGAGGACACTGGGAAGGGAGAAAGTGCACATATGGATCGCCAGTGAAATATTAATAACTCTATTCATTTGTTGTGTTTGTTCCTTTAAACAGTAAGTAAATGCATCATCACCCACTGGTCTTAAAAGACTTTTGAACGAGTTGACAGGAGCTTTTTTTTGTCTCACTACTCTTGACTGCATAGACATTTATTGTCTATTTTAACATCTTTGTCTTTTTTAATTTTTTGCACTTAAAAAAACGTTACTCTCAGAGCTGGGCTCAGTTATATAAACACATCTTAGTTCAAAATGTCTTCATCTTTCTCTTCATAAATATGATATCCACTTTGATTAGAAACATCAGTTGCTATTTTAGTAGCTTTCATTTCTGTGTCTGGTGCAAAATAAGCGACTACAGAAGCATGATGCTTTTGATGCAGTGGAAACCAGGCCACATTATGTCGATAGTTTATGGTGCCTTATTTAAATTCGTCACATCTGATGCCTATTGCTTGTGATACAGTACCTGCATTGCCAGAATTCAAACTATAAAGACTGATTTTTTTTAGGTCTGTTTTATGCTTATTTTTTCAAAATGACACAAGGAAGTCAGAGTTTTGTGCATTTACCTTGTGAACAGCTACTCGCAGGAACGCCAAACAAGCTGCTTCTAGTTTAAGTGTTGCTTACATTGGTGCAGCTGGTACAGTAAGCATTATTTTCTTAAACACTGCCATCGGTTGTTGTTATTTACAGAAGTAGCTTCATTGTTGTTGGGTTTTTTTTCTTCTTTCTTCTTTACCAGTTCAAACTAGTACAACTGACCATTTTTTTTCCCATTGGTAATTTTATTTCCCTATCTTCTGAATCGCACATACACTGTAGTAGTTTTAGATAATACATACAGCGTAGGTTGTGGGTCCTAGGGGAGATATGCGTCATGTTAGATAAGAAATCACTTTTAAAAAGGGGAATCCACTAAATGAGAACAATCCAATGCATATTCACATTAGTACAACACCACTGTTAGGGAACCAGCAAGTTATGTTAAGTATTGTATTTCAAATTGAAATGACAAGCAAATTATTGATGTGCAAAATGTGTTTTCTATAGCATCTGACAGCTTCCAGTTTTCTTTCTTCTTGTTTTTAAAGTACAGTTTTATCTATGAAATGTCAACTGCTTTAAATTTTAATGAATACAATTGGATATTTTTATTTATTAGTTACAGCACATGGTACTATATTGAATCTTAACCTTTTATGTATCCTGCACAAAACCTTTTTTTTTTTCATTGTTATATTTTGGAAAATAAACAATAATTACATTATCACTGACAGTTCATGTTTGTTGTTGTTCTTTGCTGAAAGTGAATATAGTATTGAATATAGCAACATTTATAGAAGAATATATAAAACGTACGAAAATATGGCATGGTGTTTACGTCACACCACCAGGCGGCAGTGCAAGCGCCTGCACTTCTGAACTTCTCATCTATTCATTAATGCTGTGTTTTTGGAGATATCCACAAGTTTCCTACGCCCCATGAGGCCTTGCGTCAAAAGTGGGCGCGACTTCCGGTTTGAAGTAAACAAAGCGGTACTTGACATGCTTGACACTCGTTCATTCAACAGTTGACAGTCATTCAAGTTATAGAGATCCAAACTAGCTAACGATGTGGGAACACAACCTCAACGAAATTAAAAAGGGTGAAATAACAGTACCTTTACCCTCCGCAGTAGTTGATTGGGAGTATTATAATAATAATTATTAATAATCAATACTCATCAAGGCATGTTGACAGACAGTTGTGCAAGCTGACAAACAATTAAAATAAAAAATACACACTTAGTCATTGTGCTTTGGAGTTTATTCAAAATTATAAATGAATGTGCTACTTGAATACATTAACTGGCACATTTGGTATTCTGTCAACACAGGCTTTGATCCTGAGTTTAGGTGTAACATCAGTAGAGGACAGCCAAACACATGCTGATAGAGTTTATAGAATATTAAGATTTTAAACAAATGTACACAGGATGATTCGTTGTCTTTTGGGAGGTTGATGGAAACTTCAGTCGTTGGTAGGATCACTGTGATTTCGTTTTCAGCTTATGTTCAAAACAATCACGTTTAAGCCACTGAATTAGTTTAGTCCGGTTATACATACAACCGCGAACAGCACATGTTGTCCCTGAGCTCCGTAACGACATCTCTCATAAAGATTGGCGTCTTTAAATAGTAAAATAATTCTCAGAAAGACAGCTAGCCTCTTCGCTAACTAACACACAAAATACCATTGGAATGCTACTTTCGCCGCCTCACCGGAAGTTTCACCCACTTTATTTTTTACAGGAGCGCCCCTCGGAAACTTGTGGATAAAGTAGGCTTACATCCATGTACCACACTAGGCTACATTCCTCAACTACACCATTAGCTTGCATGTGAATTTTTTTTTTTTTTTTATGATACATTGCGTTTATGTAGTACTAGGCCTTCATTTCTGTGCAAAAATTTTCAGATTTATGCCGGATTTTTTTTATTTATTTATTATTTTTTTGACACATGAAGAAAAAAATATTTCGTTTTCTCACATTTCCCATTCATTTCAATGTAGGGTCAAACTGACCCCGAAGACCAGAAGTGTTACAAACATTTTTTTACATACCTTCAGAACAACCGAATCAAGCCCAGTTTTTGTGTGTATAGACAGATAATGTATGAAAAGTCACAAAATCTTATTCCACTGAGATGAAGGGAACCTTTTTTTATTAGGTAAAAGTCGATTAGGGTCGTATAGACCCCATGACCCGATTGAGGGCAACCAAATGAACGTCAACTCTCGACTTTGGCGTTATTCTCCCACATTGATGGAACAGAAAAATATCGAAGACGTGATGACGACATTGTTCTACGTAGGCTGAGTGCTCAAGCTCGGGTATTTTCCCCGCTCGCTCAGAGAGAGAGAGATCTCATCACCGTTTGCCACGCAGCGCACGCGGGCACCAGCATCAGCATCAGCGGTGGACGCGCAGCACTGGATGATCCCGCGCATCGTAAATACATCCTGGATCCTATCCACTACACATTTGAGTGTCATTGCACAGAAATTACAGGCACAGGTTTACCAAAACTGTGGGACGGGGGAATGATAAACCCCGGATCCCCCGGGCCGTTGTACTGTTCGTAAGGATGCGATCACTGAGCCGACCGTGGGCCTCGCTACTCACCGAGGCTTTCCTCATCACAACAGTCGCCGTCAGCGCTGCAATGGCAGGTAAGACGCGTTTCATTCGTGCCATGTTTGTTTAACGTGCTTCGTGATGCCAGACCGGTGTCTGGGATTAACGGTCTCTGGGTAGCCTCATAAGCTCAAAACAGCCACACAGACAGTATGTATGTTGTTTATTTTGCTTCCTTTGGACTGCAAGTGTTTGTTAAAGTCATAATTAGACTACAAGAATGTGTTGTTCACTCACATTCAGTGAATAAATGATCCTTTGGAATTAGTTCATGCTTAGATTCTGTTTGAATGTCTGTCTTTGATTTGACTTAAATATTCTGCTGTTTTAAAAAATTAAAACTCAATATGAAGATGTAATACATTTTAATGATGCAGGAAGAAAGAACAAATCTGCTCTCTGACGCAAGAGGGAGAGATATGGACCCCCTGTCATCCACATGTGTGTCCATTTTGGGAAATGGGTTCACTCATATTAAGTTTTGATGTCATGCCTATTGGCTATATGACAGTTTGAGACGTGTCTCTTTGTGTGCCACTCACTTAAGATGTTGCGTTAATGTCCCGAACGTCATACTGATCACCCTGGGGGCTCTTCTGTAACACTTCATTATTGTGTAATGGAAACTGGCAATCAGCAGTTGGGAACTCCAGACACCTCTTCTGCCACTCGGGTCTGGGCTATAAATAAGAACAATAAGAATGTAGAAAATGAGTCCCCCAAACACAGGGCCAAAGATAGTCTGGACACTTTCAGGAACTGAACAACAAAAGCCTTTTCTTCACTCTGCAAGACCAATTCATAACGTGTACATATTTTAATCCTTGTGTTTGTTTGTTTGTTTGTTTTGCAGCAGAATACACCAACAAAAAATACCATTGTATTACATGTTGTTTTGAAATAAAATATGGTGGAATTCTTTGCGGAAAATTGGAGTACCGTGGTATAAGATAATCAGTCAGTAGTGACATAGAATATACAGTACATGTAATATATTGATTTTCATCTGATTATAGTTTTGTTTTATTATTTGAATCAGTTGATATTGGACGTTTAATTGTGCATGCTCATTTCCCCTTATATTTATTGTCAAAACTAATAGTTTAATAACATTGTTGTTATATGTAACCTCTATCTAATCTCAAAATGAATCCGCTTTTCATTCTGTACATTACAATGTTGTTATGCTGGAATTCACTTGTAGCATATACCATATAAAGTGATTGGTTTTCGTTTTTAGTGATTTCGTTTTAAAAGTGCTCAGGCTATTTCTTTTTCAAACATTATTTTTCATGCAGTTTGTAATATAGTAATGTCTGTGAATATAAAACGGTCTGCAAAGTCAAAAGTGCACGATAAATAAAGTTATTGTCTCCCAAATTAAAGATTCGACTCTGAACCACTTTAACGAGTTGTCGGGAATTCCAGTCTCACTTCCGTGACCTACATACGTAACGCAGTGACAGTTTATATATATATATATATATATATATATATATACATTTTGAAATAAGATAATAATAACAAACGAAGCTCAAACATCAATTTCGTAACATACATGCATGTTTTTTTTAAAACAAATCCGTCAGTGAAGCATAACACTAAAGCCTGTAAAGCAATGAAAAAAAAAATATATAAGTAAATAATACATCACTTAAACAATATAATAAAGTTCAATATTTACATTTATTAGCTGACGCTTTTATCCAAAGCGACTTACAATTGCTATATATGTCAGAGGTCGCCTCTGGAGCAACTAGGGGTTAAAGGGTTAGTTCACCCAAAAATGAAAATTAAGTCATTAATTACTCACCCCCATGCTGTACCAACCCCGTAAGACCTTCGTTCATCTTCGGAACACAAATAAAGATATTTTTGATTGAATCTGAGAGCTGGATCAGTCCTACATAGACTGCCTAAGGGACTGGCTCTTGACGGCCCATAAAGTCATTAAAGAAAAGGTTTAAATATTCCATGTGCCTACAGCGGCTCAATTCTAAGTTTATCAAGCGACGAGACTACTTTTTGTGCGAAAAAAAACATAAATAACGACTTTATTCGACTATTCTATTACTTCCTTATGGGCGCATGCGCGAGAACTGAGACGAGGACGTTCTCCTTCGACTACTTTTTGTTACCGGCTGCTCCGCTTAGGAGTATTACCGCCACCTACCGTATAAAATGATGATCCATATATAAGGCGCTCCGGATTACAAGGAACACTGACGTTTTTTGAGAAGATTAAAGGCTTCTACTACTTAGGCAACTCATTATCTTTAAATGTATTAACTTTAAAAATTTTCTCAAAAGCAATTTTGTTGCATTATAATGCAAATGCACCTGGTTCTATTAATTGACAGCATTAAAATGTATTTTGTGATTTCCTTCAATTGAAAATATTTGAAGCAAGTTTGGGGGACTTGAAGGGCACCCGATTCAGAGAATCACCTAGAAATTCAAAAGAACAACATTTATCTGAAAAAGAAAGCTTTTGTAACATTAAACAATACCGTTCAAATGTTTTAAGTCGGTAAGAATTTTTATTTAATATTTTGGGCAAAAGAAAAAAGAAATCTATACTTTTATTCATCAAGGATAAATTAAGTTGATCAAAAGTTAAAGTACAAGACATTTATAATGATACAAATCGATTATCTGAATCTTTTGTGTGTGACTATAAATAATTTGCTTTAAAAGTACAAAGTAATGACCCATAAAGAATTAATGCACAATATATTTTATTAACATTACAAAGAACGACCAGGAAAATAAATGTGTGCTTGAACTAGGAGCATACTTGTAGTAATTAAATAATATAACGACTGGTGCAGCCGAGTGTTTTTCCTCCTCTGGCTGGAAAGGTGTCATATGGCTTATCATATTTGTCGTGTTTCCGTCGTTGGTTTTATTCCACAAAGCGTACAACTAGTCCGGCTCTTGTCCAGCTCCTTTCCCCCTTCAACTTCAGAAGCCAAAATATTTCCACTGTCAGCTTAACAAGGAAGGTGTTTGGATCTCGCGTGCCATCTCATCTCTGTTATGTGCACGCCACAGACGGTCCGGCCACTGCACTTCCGCGCTTCAGAGTTCCGTCTTTCGCGTTCCGTCAATATTACGTTATTATAAATACATATAAAACTTTTTTTTTTTTAAATCGATTTTTTTGACATTTGTGAATCGATTCAGGATCGTCCACGTCCGCATCAAAAATCGATTTTTTCCCCCACCCCTACTTTTAAGTGCACCTTATAGTGCGAAAAATACGCTAATTGAAAAACGTATGTACAGCGCGCATCTTCCTCTGCTTGTAAACAGAAAGTTTTGCGCTTCCAGCTATATCAGCACATCATCTTATACGGTAGGTGGCGGTAATACTCCTAAGCGGTGAGCAGCCGGTAACAAAAAGTAGAAGGAGAACGTCCTCGTCTCAGTTCTCGCGCATGCGCCCATAAGGAAGTAATAGAATAGTCGAATAAAGTCGTTATTTATGTTTTTTTCGCACAAAAAGTAGTCTCGTCGCTTGATAAACTTAGAATTGAGCCGGTGTAGGCACATGGAATATTTAAACCTTTTCTTTAATGACTTTATGGGCCGTCAAGAGCCAGTCCCTTAGGAAGTCAATGTAGGACTGATCCAGCTCTCAGATTCAATCAAAAATATCTTTATTTGTGTTCCGAAGATGAACGAAGGTCTTACGGGGTTGGAACAGCATGGGGGTGAGTAATTAATGACTTAATTTTCATTTTTGGGTGAACTAACCCTTTAAGTGTCTTGCTCAGGGTCACATTGGTGTCTCACAGTGGATTCAAACCAGGGTCTCTCACACCAAAGGCATGTGTCTAATCCACGGGGCCATCACCACACCATAGGACGTGTAATATAGCTTTCTGCTCTGCGCTTAGAGAGGGATCAGGGATGTGGGACACAAGCAGGAAAGAGACCATCTCTTTTCTAATATCTTCAGGTTTTCTATTTGTAAAGGTATGAACAGCGAATTTTATGACATTTAAGCTATGTTTAATTTTGCGCTGCGAGAGAAAATGAAACTAAAAATCACCCACGTGTGTGAAAATCAGTTTACAAATAAACTTGACGCACCTTAAGTATAATAACAAGCACAAACTGTTAAAAACAATTTGGTGTGCAAGTAAAAAGGTACAGTGTTTTTCTACTTCACCACTGTAAACAATGCAAATATAATAGGCCTACTTAAGCGAACCAGGAAAAAACATTTATAATCCCCTGAATAACTAATAGAATATTGTTAAATTCGCTGATAATCGGGTGACCAGACTGCAAAACAGAATACAAAAATACAAAATATTTTTTATACTGCAGTATTTAGGCTTAGTCAGTCAATACATCACCAGCAAACAATCTGTCAAAAAAAAAAAAAAAAAAAGATGAAAGAAAAGAGCTGAGAGCTTAAGCTGCATAAAGTGATTTTGACCATGGTGGATGTTATTTAACCAGAAGCAAAGACATTCTATGAAGGCTTTTGGAGGTTGCTAGGGCTTTGCTCACATTATGATGTTTTATTAGCAAGGTTCGGGAGGAGCAGGTGCAAACAAATAACCCAATCAGCACAAGTGGAGATCAATCAGTAATCAACTCAGGACAAGATAAATAACAGCAGAACCCACCTTTGTTCCTTGACAGTTTATCAGCATCCCATCTCCTCACATATAGTTCCATCTACTCTTACCAACGGGGGAGTACTCTGGGTTAGGGCAGAAATTCTGAGCTCGGAGCCTTCCACCCGGACAGCCCACCAAGTATGCAAAACCTTTACCATAATAATTATATCTAGAAGTAAAGTATAGGAGCTTTGAAGTCGATAATTGACAATCTAATGAGAGTGAAGACAATTTAAGTACTGTGTAACCTTCAAAAATGAGCACTGCAAATGGTTCTTCTTTCAGAGTACTTGTATAGAGGCTGTTATCCAACCACAGAGATATAATATAGATCATTAGAATGCAGAAAGAAAATGTTTAGCTATTGCAAGAGATAGGGATGAAAAGAAAATCTAAAA